CAGATAACGTCCTCTCCAACCACTTCAACCACCCTATTGGAATTACACCTGTGTACTCTTCTCCCTCCACCCATCCCATCAAGCCCGACTGCCTCAGTTTCTCTATTAGACTTCTTGCGCCCCGTCTGGCCCTTGTATCCATGCACTTCCCAAGTGTATTCGCGCCAATACTCTATTCCATTGATCAACGCTTCCACGCCGGCAATTGTGCATTCTGGGCAGGGAAAGGGCTCATTGAAGAGGCCCTGCGCTAGGTGCGCCGAGTTTATATGCCTGGAAAACGCATGGCCGGCAGCGAACTGTCCCTAGCAGAGCTTGCATTCTACCTTTGGAAATGTTTTGAACTGACGAGATCGCCCTGATTTGACTAGCGGCGACTGCCGAGGGCTATATGGTGAGTTGTGTTTCCCGTGGTATCTCTCAACATGGGTGCTCCATTCAGACTGCCCATCTATGATGCGCTTTCGTTTACCCTGCGACTTAGACAAGCATTCCGGGCAGAAAAACGTTATTCGAAACGTCTCTTTATGTCTGCGCTGAACGTGTCTGCTCAGACTATACCTGCTGTGCATTGGGCCACAACCGAGCAGACAGCGAAATTCTGTAGTCAAGTTGGCTCTCGTATGCTTCTTCATGGGCAGCAGTGGCTCAATTGGCGGCCGAAGGAAAAGCTGCTGTTCTTCCTCCTTACTAATACCATGATTCGTCGATATTGTAGTCGACATTCTTTCGAGGTGCTCGACCTCCGAAAATCTATTTAATAGGAAAGCCATAAGAATGTCAATGTATTTTATTATAGTCAGCGTGTCGCTTTCCGAGCATCGTAACATGTAGCCGCTGAGTTGCGTTGCAGCTGCTGAACTGGTAGTATAGCGTCCTGCTTTCTGGCTCGTCTTTCTGTTAACGAGATGCTCTGTTGAATATCCCTTGGCCCTCAGCTTGTCGGCCTTAAGAAAGTATTCTTCACGACGTTGCAGGACTTAGAGTCTCGACAGTGTTGCCACGATAAAGCTACGCTGAGATGCGATCCTCTATGCATTCTCCCTATCAGCTGATGTTTTACGTAGGATCTCATTAAGTTGCTTATCGAGCTCTCGTATATCTTTCCGTATGTTCTATCTTGCGTAATCCTCCAGCTGCGGATCTATGGGCGCGTTATCATCACAGGTGAGTAAGG